CGGGGCCGCGAGGGCGGGGTGCAGCGCGGAGCAAGGTCATTGGCTGCCTCTGAGGGATCCCCGTTGGGCCGCCGTCGCCCATTGGTTACTGCCCAGCGTTCGTCGGACCGGGAGCCACCCTGACCCCCTCCCCTACCTCCGTCCGCGCCGCTGCTCCGGCGGCGGCGGCTGCTCCCTCGGAGGAGGCTCTAGGCGATCGCGCTGGTCAGGAGGTCGCGGCCCGTCGGTGGGCGGCCTCTCTTACCCCAGCCCAGGATTGGCAGCGGCGGGCCGGCGCTCCCGGGACCTATCCAGGGGGTACTAGAGCTTCAGGATGAGCGTCGATAGGCCTGCTGTGGCCGGCTGTGGCGGAGGGCTAAAGGCAGGGTTTCCACTGCCCCCACCTCCCCGCAGACCGCTGCTGCCTGCCTTTACCCACAGCCCCACATTGGGCCAGGGCCACCGGGTGGGGCAGGGAGAGGCGGGAACCCTGGCGTGGGCACAGAGGTAGCACTCATCATCTGCCTTGTGGGTGCCTGTGCCTGGGTACCCACGGGTGCTCTGTGCAGAGATGGCAGGCACGCAGACTGGCGTTGCACAAAAACACTTTAGTCAACGGACACGCAAGTCATTACACAGAAACAGAAGTATTCATGGGCATGTATGTGCGTGTACACATTGGCATGTGCACACATACAGACACTGTCAGACAACAGGTACCTTCCAGAGTCCGCACGTGTACACATGGTCCAGGCATATGTGCGCAGGCACGTGGGTCTACCTCCAAGACCCTCACACCGTCCCCCTGCAGCCTAAGCCTCCCTGTGTCTTCTAAGCCTGTTAAACCTGTCCCAAGGCAAAGCAACATTGTGCTATGTGGGGCGCTCATGCAAAATACTTTATAGAGACAAATAACAGCAGAGGGAGAGACAAATTAAGAGGTGTAATAGGCAAGAGGGAAAATATCTGCTTTCGGCTGCAATTTAAAATGAAATGCAGCGTTGACGAGACAGAAAATACTGCAGGGAGGCCTTTCCTGACAGCGGAAGCGGCCCAGGCAGGCCTTCACCTCGTAATTCTTCCTTCTTCCCTGAGGCCTGCTGCAGATGGGCCCCCACGAGACCAGACTGCCCTCATTTCTAGGCCAGGCCACGGGCAGCAGACCCTCCCCTGGTATTTAAATAGCCCAGGCCTGTAAATTTCTTTCATTTGAAAACAAAAACCAAAAGACTGTTTGGAGCAAGAGGTGCAACTCTTTTGCTCACTGGATAGGAATACCAAAGCCCTCAAACCCCATTGCAATCAAGTTGATTCTGACTCACAGTGAGTCTACGTAGAATTTCCAAGAGTATAAATCTTTACTACGGGAGACAGTCCAGGTTTGAACTGCCAACCTTGTGCTTAGCATAAGCGCCCCCTCCACCCTCTGCCTAGGCCACAGCACCACCAGGGCTTGTCCTAAGCCCCACAGATGCACACACCTTGTTCACATGAAACCTTCTCATTCAGGAATCTCAGTCTCTTGTGAATTTGGTTGGCAGGAGTCAGTTCGCTAGAGTCAATTGTGAACATCAGAGACAGGCATACGACCTAGTAGAGGCAGGAACTCAGAGGCCTGGCCTCTCCCCGGTGCCCACCACCCAACCATCTCTTTCCCACCCGAGGAAGGAGCAAGCTTGCTTTCGGGGAGCTGGGCAGGAACCGACCCCTCATTAGAGGCAGGACCCACATGATCTCCATTGAGAGTGTAAGGCAATCGTGATGAGCCCCTGAGAAGGTTGGGCCCAGGAGAGTGGGAGCAAGCCCAGGCTCAGCCTCCAAAGGGAAGGCTGGCTTGCACTGGCCACTCTCTGGTGTGCTGGGGGCAGGGGGAGGGGAGGGGCGTCCACAGCTGGGTGGCAGTAGAACTGACATGCGTTTCACAGGCCTGGCCTACAAATCCTCAAGCCCACAGGGAGCGACTTCTTTTCAAATCGATGTCATGCCCATGATGACACCGTGGGCATTGTGTCTGCAGAGTCAACACCACACACATAACGGAGTGAGTGGAAGCCCATTTCACACAGGAAGAAACTGAGCCTCTGGGAAGGGACCAACAATGAACTGACCCAGAACACTGCCTCATGTACGTTCCAGTATAATCTGATGAGGGAGATATTACTAATGGCCCCCATCTCACAGATAAGAATATCAAGGCTTAGAGACAGCTAGAATGCATGAATAAATCATCTTTCACAGTATAAATCAGCAATTGAAGTGGGACTGAAAATGACCCAGGCCACTTGTACAAAAATGTCTACGTAGTCCGTCAGTACCCAGCTATTAGAACCTGCACAGATGTGGGATGGACCTGGAGATGATTAAAGTGTGGTCCCTGCCCTTCTTGACTCATTCGTTCCATAAAGAAGCCTTTATTGAACACTTGCTCTGTGCCAGGTAGAGAGGGCTAGGAACAGGCAGTGACTAAGGCAGGTGTGAAGCCCGTCTTCAGAGTGAGCTTCTTGTCAAAAATGCAACATGGACCCACTAAGGCTACCAAGCAACTGACACGCTGCTTCCCTCACATCCCTTCTCACCCTCCCCACCACCTTCTCCACTCGAGATCCTAATTTCACACCATCTCAGGGGTTGATGAGACTTGTTCAAAAGCACACAGGTGAGGACATGCAAAGTGAAGGAGAAATAGACCCATCTAACCCCAGAGCCTGTGCCCTGTCTGCTAATAGTCATATCAAGAATCACTAAGATGAGGAAGACCCAAGTAACACCCTTCATGGGCCACGTCCACCCATCCATCAGTAATGGCTTACATGTTGCTGTGATGCTGAACATATTTCCACATAGCTTCTGATCTAAAATGGATTAGGAAGAAAGGCCTGGAAATCTACTTCTGCGGGAGGGGGAAAGATTAGCCAACGGAAACCTGATGGAACACAGTGGTCCGATGGGCCACTGAGACTGGGGTGGGGCAAAACCGAGTAGACTTTCGTTCTGTGGAACATGAGGTACCATGAGTTAGTTACTGACTTCAACGCAGCAAGAACGTTTTGCTTGGATCTGCAATCAATGCTTATGGAAGCAACAGCCAGGAGATCCGATGATGGCTTGCGCTGGGCAAATCTGGTGCACAAGACCTCTTTAAAGTATCAAAGAGTAAGGATGTCACTTTGAGGACTAAGATGTGCCTGACCCAAGCCATCATATTTTCAATGGCCTCCTGGGCATGTGAAAATTAGGCAACGGATAAGGAAGACCGCAGAAGGGTTGATGCCTTTGAACTCTGACATTGGTGAAGGATAGCTAAAGGATAGTGGACGGCTAGAAGAAAACACAACTCGATCTCATGGGAAGCAAAGGTGGTGAGACTGCATCCCCTGTCCTTTGAGCATGTTTTCTGAAGCGACGGTCCCTGGAGGAGGACTAGACAGCATCGAGGTCCCGTGACAAACAGGGATGCCTCGAGGACTGACACAATGGCTGTCACCACGGGCTGGACCCTAACATATTGTGAGGGTGGCGCGGCACCAGTGTCGCATTCTGTTCTACATTGGGTCGCTAGGTGTCGGAACTGACCCAATGGTACCTCCCCACGGCAAAGATTAATCAAGGGGTTATTAGCACCATCAGGTCAAGAGAGTGAACTGACTTGATGCTTACAGGCCGCAGCCCTCTACGTCACTCAGCGTCTGCGCAAGGCAGGAGAGAGAGGACCAGTTGTTAAAACGTCACAGCATGGCTGCCAGTGGGGGCGGGTGGTCAGGAGTTGACCGAGGCAAAGAGAGATGATGGGCAGGTCCAGGCTGGGGAGATGGCATACGTAAAGGCCCCAGTGGGAAGGGAACGTGATGTTTTGGAAGACAACGTACCTGCCGTGAGAACGTGATGGGAGGCACGTGGGAGCTGTGGGGGTGGGGGCATCAGCAGATACCCAGCTATAGAACCCATGTTGGTGTTCTTGTGAGGCACGGCCAATGTGGATGCGGGACTCCGGTGAGAGAGGACTTTCTAGCGCATAATC